AAGTGTTTGTTTGAGGCACCTTTGGTGTTAGGGGTGGTCTACCCTCCCTTTTGTGCCTTGTTTGGCCTTGTTTTGTGCCATCCTTTTAGGCCTTCGAGATCACCTTCTCTTGGCCTTTTAGCCACTAAAATCCAGTGAATTTTCAGTGGTAGAAAGTGTGTTTTGAGGCCCCAAATGGGTGGGGGTTGTCCCCCCTCATCTTCCTTTGTTTGTTTGTGTTGGCTCATCAAAGTAGCATGTCTTTCTAGCATGTTTTGGTCCTATCTCAGCATGTTTTTGGTGTTATTTTAGCATGTCTTAACTCTGTTTGGCTTGGTTTGATTTCCTCTTGCATGCTTTATACCCTTGTAGTGCAATCCTCCTTATAGCCTTAACATGCCTCATGTTTTGGACCATCCTTCTAGCATGATTTTGGCTAAACTCCAGCAAGCTTTTACTTATGCTTTTCCATGCTTAAGCTCTGCTTTAAGTTGTTTTGGCCATGCATGCCTTGCTTTGTATAGCCACAGTGCAATCTTGCTCACTAGCTTTGAGTTTCTAAGTCACTAGCATGCATTGCTTGGGCTATTTGCACTTTTATTCTAGCATATGTTGGCTATGTTCAAGAATGCATTTGGCCTTGTTTTGACATGCTTTAGGACTATTTTGGATCATCTTGGCCCTTTGGGCCTTGCTTGATATGGCTATGGTGTAAATCCTCTTTGCTAGCCTTAAGCTTTGAGCCTCCTAGCATGCCTTATTTGTGGTAGTTGCATGTTTTAGCATCATTTGGAATGATATTTCAAAGCATATAGTGCTGTCACACTCCCATGTTTTTCACTCTTTAAGTGCTTTTAAGAGTTGACCCTTGTGCCTAATTGATGAGCCATCACATGAGCATGTGTTCTTGGCCCCTTTTGTGCCTAAGTTTTGGTGTGTTGGCCACTGTTTTGGACCCTCTTAGGTTTGTCCATATTCGGTTTAAGTCCATTGAGCACTGTATTGCATGCCTCTTGTATGATGCTCTTTACTTGCTTTGGTGCTTTAGCCTCTAACTATGCCATGCATGCATTGCTTGTATGATGAAACCTCATGCATGCCCCTTTGGCATTAGTAGATAAGCATGTTGTTGCATTGCATTGTGTTTGGAATGTTGTTGTATTGCATTGTGTTTGGATCGGGCGTTAATCCAAACACGAGAAATGAGGGGTGTTTCATACTTAAAGTGATGAAACGTGTCTCATTTCTCGGTCGCCGACCTTCTTGATCGTGCATGATATAGGTTAAGGCCCTTATGTGTTATTTGTGCATTCATCGACATTGAATTGTGCAAACTTGACTTCTTTGGCCATCATGCATTGAGATACGTGATTGATGGCCTGAGAGTCGAGTACCGTAGTCCCTTGAGCTTGAGGAATGATAGGGAGGGTGGTTGTGTACACATACCTTGCAAATACACTGCCATACCTCTATTTGTGCTCTGTTGCAGCAAAAGGAGAAATTGCAGGAAGCAGTGGCCGACTGGCCATCAAAGCTACCGACCGGCCACCAAGACTGCCGATCGGCTATTAGAAGTGGCCGATGGCCATTAACTTTGGTTGATGGCCATCCCTCTTGGCTGACCACCCATCAACATGTTCCTAAGGTGGATCAGAAGCATCTTTGAAGTTGGCACAATTTTCAGAAGTCCAAAAGAGTGCAAATAGAGGCATCATGAGGCACGGTAGTGGATTTTCGAGCAAAGCCGACCGAGCATGCATATCCCCCTCGCTTCCCGAGGCCATTTGTTTAAATTGCTTAGCTAAACTAGTTCATTAGGTTAGTTATTTTGTAATTAATTATTTAATGTGTTAGCTAATTTAATTCATTATTGTAATTTCTTAATTAGCTTAGCATAGCTAGTTTTCAATTTAGTTGTGTAATAATTAGTCTAATTAGATTATTAGATTAGTTATTTAGCTTAGCTTAGAGTAGCTTAGCTTTTATTCGGACCCTCCTCCGAAAGGGCGATGTTGTAATAAGTGTGCGTGTGTGTGATGCATATCTTCCAACCCCATTTCTTTCTCCCTTTTACTTATCAGCTTTCGATGGTTAGTTTAGGGCATATTTTAATTAGCATCCTTATGCTTTACATGCGTGCATCATTCATCTGTCTTGCATGCACCGGGCTCGGTACATCATATAAACTGCATTGTATTTCAATACCAATTTGAATACATGTTATCTAGTTGCATTCACATGACATGTTAGAATAGCCGAGCCTATCTTAGTTGTATTTTGCATGTGTTGCATTAGGCATCTTAACATAAAGTAGGATCATGCATGATTACTAACTAGCTTTTTTTTTGGCTCGGAGTACACTGTGAGTGTTTACTCTTTAGCATCCTTGCATGAGTGTAAGTGACTGCCATGATAGCATGCTTGCCATGAGGCTAATTGCTTAAGTGTTTAACTGCATGAATGCTTGTGGATGAAGGTTTGATTGCTTGAATTGGAACAACTCGATGATTGTGAGTTTTAAGCCCACTTGAAGTGGCAAAATCATGTTTTTCTAAGCCCACTTGAGGGTGGCAAATCCGCGCTTTAGCTTGCTTACGAGTAGCACTTTCAAACCACTTTCAAAAACAAAAATGACTTGTTTTGTTCCAATCCGCGTGATTGAGTCTATACTTGTATGCTGTGCGCATCATATAGTAATTCTAGATTAATAATCGGAATAAGAATGCATATGTTTTCAAAAATAACATATCATGTTAGTAGAGGCCGATCTTTGATTGGGCGAGTGGGGGTGTTCATTTCAGGACCTTCCCCTCTCGTACCCAAGTTCCCGAGCCGAGGCAACTTTGGTGATAACGGACACGTGGCCTTAGGCACGAGTCAGGGTTTCGTAAATTTTCCAAAAAGAAAACATTTAGGTGGCGACTCTGAAATCTGGCAAAGTAGTCCAGGTTTGGCACTTTTAATTCAAAATTGATTTTTCAAAACCAATTACCGGATTTGGACTCTTTGGTGATTTATCAGTCTTACATTGCACTTTGTGAGATTAGATTCAGAACCGTGAAAGGAGTCCGAACTGTAGTAGCTAGAACTACAATTCGCGCCCTCGCTCACGGAGCGGAGTTCAAACGGTCTACAGGGACAAGCCAAAAATGTTTTTGAGATCTGAAGTTTCTTGGGATTAACGGGGTTTTATCGACGTTTTGTAAGGGACTTTTCTAGACTAGCTGCTCCTTTGACTAGATTGACTGGAAAGGGTGTGAAGTTTGTGTGGAGTGAGGCTTGTGAAAGGTCATTCCAAGAACTTAAGGCTAGATTAACTACCACACCGGTGTTGATAATTCCGGAAAGAGGCTTGGGTTACACCATTTATTGTGATGCGTCTCGGGATAGGCTTGGTTGTGTCTTGATGCAAGGGGGAAAGGTTGTGGCCTATGGTTTACGGCAATTGAAAACTCATGAGAAGAACTACCCCACCCACGACTTGGAATTAACGGTGGTAATTTTTGCTTTGAAAATTTGGAGACATTATTTATATGGTGAGAAGTTTGAGGTTTTCTCCGATTATAAGAGTCTAAAGTATTTGTTTTTCCCAAAAGACTTGAATTTACGCCAACGGACATGTATGAAATTTATGGAGGATTACGACTTTGAGTTACACTACCATCTGGGAAAAGCCAATGTGGTGACCGATGCTTTGAGCTGGAAGTCTTTGAGTAGCTTGGCAAGTGTGGCCATTTGGGAATGGGTTATGCTAGGTGATATCGGCGAGTTTGATTTGCACTTGGGTGAGTTCGATGAGAGTGCAACCTTGTTTACCATGAGTGCTTAACCTATCTTGATTAGTAAAGTCCTAGAGGCGCAACAAAGGGACCATGAAGTGGACTTAATTCCAGATAGAATTTCCAACGGGAAGGAAGAGAAGGGTCTGAACATTCACTCAGATTTAAGTGTATGTTATCTAGACCGTTTGTTTGTACTAGAATCTTGTAGAAAGGACATACTTCGGGTGTTCCATCACTCACGCCTTGCGGTACACCAGGGGGCACAAAATGTATCATGATCTTAGTCGTCGGTTTTAGTGGAGGGGTATGAAGCGGGATGTCGCTTCCTTTGTATCGAAGTGCCTTACTTTTCAACAAGTGAAGGCTGAACACCAATGACCAATGACTTTGCTACAACCCTTACCAATAGCCGAGTGGAAGTGAGAGCACGTTACTATGGATTTTGTAGTTGGGCTTCCTAGAACACAGCGAGGCAATGATGTCGTTTGGGTGATTGTTGATAGGTTGACTAAGTCTATGCATTTCATTTTGATGCGCACCGGTGATTCAGTTGAGCACTTGGTAGAGTTGTACATTAGAGAGATAGTTCGATTTCATGGGGTTCCTGTAACCATTGTGTCGGATAGAGATCCTCATTTTTTTGCCTGGTGATGGCAAAGACATCAAAAGGCATTGGGAGCTAAGTTGACCTTTAGCACTGCTTACCACCCTCAAACCGATGGGCAGTCGGAGTGTACCATTTAGATCTTGGAGGACATGCTTAGAGCTTGCATCCTTGATTTCAAGGGGTCTTGGGAGAGGCACTTACCATTGATTGAGTTTGCCTATAACAATAGCTACCAAGCTAGCATCGAGATGGCACCGTTTAAGGCCTTATATGACCGACCTTGTAGATCACTAGTTTGTTAGGCCAAGGTAGATGATGCACCGTTATTGGGTCCAGAAATTGTTAGAGAGACAACTGAGAAAGTTGCCCTCATTAGGAAGAGGTTGGCGACGGCCCAAAGCCGACAAAAGAGTTATGCCGATAAGAAAAGACGACCCTTATCTTTTGAAGTTGGTGACCATGTGTTCCTTAAAATCTCACCAAGATGGGGTTTGATGAGATTCGGTAAGAGTGGTAAATTGTCTCCACGGTTCATTGGGCCTTTTGAGATATTGGAGCGAATTGGGGAAGTGGCATATCGGCTAGCTTTACTGCCACGACTTTCGGGGGCTCACAACATGTTTCATGTATCAATGCTTAGAAAGTATGAGCCCGACTCTTCTCATTTGCAAGATTGGGTTAATTTGGAGATAGATGAGGATGCCTCTTACGAAGAGCAACCGGTCCAAGTATTAGATACCAGGGAGCAAGTGCTACGAGGTAAAACTATATCGTTGGTAAAGGTGCTGTAGAGACACCATGGGGTTGAGGAAACAACGTGGGAACAGGAGGCGGAGGTCGGCTCCAAGTATCTGGATTTATTTGAATATGCTTAAGTTTCTTTTCTTTGACATTGTTCTCTAGCGTTGAGGGAAGTGTATTGAAATTCTTAATTACATGTTGTCATGTACATTGTTGTTTCAAGCATGAGATTGTTGTGAGTTGCTACTATTTTTATTAAAAACTCTATGTGTATGCTTGTTTTGAACGGTTATTGTTAGTGAGATAACGATGATGGCAATGGTGAATTTTGGTTGAGAACCTAATTTGCGGTTTGAGATGGCATTAGCATGGTTGTGATTGCTAGAAATTCTTTTGTTTGAGTAGTTGGTTTAATTTTGGGGACGAAATTCCCTATGGTGGAGAGGTTGTGATGACCGGTACGTAATTCGCCTCGTTCCTCTTTAAGTTATGCCAGGTACGTTGTTGTAGAAAACTCCTTCTTAAAATTTTCGTATTATATTTAGTTTGATCCGAGTACTTCACTTATTCTAGGGGGTGTGAGGTCAGATTCGGAGTGTCGGGAGTGGAGCTGGAAATTTTCTGGGCTGGAGGACCAGAGCCGTACGTGCGAGGGCTCGGGCCGCATGTGCGGAAAGCAGGGGATTGACCTGGGTGCATACTGAAATAAATGCACGAGAAGCAGTAGGTGCGGGAGAGGGAGGGCCGCATATACGGGGATGAAGGCCGAAGCATGGGTGCCGCACGTGTGGTGGTAGGTGAGTCCGAAATTTTTTCTTTTTCTTCTCTTTGGGCTGATTTTATCTCACTTTTGTTGTATCTCTGTCTCTCTAAAAACTCTTTTCTCTCCATTCTCTTTACATTTCCTACACCAAACAAGATCAAATCCTTGGTCTCTTTAAATCCATTAGAAATTTGCCCATAGTTTCTTTATCAAAGTTGGATAACTTCTCGAGGGCTTCGTTGTGTGCGATGAAGATCGTGTTTCAACATCGTTGATTCTAAGGGTTTCATCTCATTTCCTTCTCCAAACTTGAGATAGGGATTTTCTTAGAGTTATATATATATTTTTACAAGTTTTGGTTAAATTAGAGATTTCCTCTTTGGTTGTTTTGAAAATTGGTTTTTGGCTCATGAAATTGGTGGTTTTGTAAAGAGAGGTTCATCTCTTGTTTTCATTAAAAGATTTTCTTGAGGAGTTGAATCACATTGATTTAAGAATGATGTTTTTGGTGAGATTTAACCAAGAGATGAAGAAATGTCTAGTTTTGGTAGAAAACCAAGAAATTTGGGGGTTTTGAAAAATGTTGAGAATTTATGGAATATCTTATGCTAAATAAATGAATAATTCGGAATTTCTTATTATTGTATATGAATATGACAATTTTCTTAGTGCATAAGAATTGGTGGAATTTTGTGGAATTTATTGTTTAAGTGAACATGTATAGAGTCATGAATATAGTCGTGAAATGACAATGTTGAGACTACATGAGATGTGGAAATATTGCAACACTTGGATAGATGTAAAAGTTCATGAGTTATATATGTTTAATGTATTGGAAAAAGGTGGAAATTGTGATCGCAAATAGAACATTTGTGGGGAAGTTTTGTAAATGGTAGGATGATACATCACATGGGTAATCATTACATTGCATAGTTGATTATTGCATTGCATGGATAGTTGTGACATTGACACTTCAATATATTGCTTGTTATAAATATTGAATTAGGATTTGAAACTTGCATTGACAAAGAATTAATGAGAAATGAGAGCTATTGAAATGTTTTGGGGTAAATACGTTGGTAAGTCCAGATAGGAGGTGTAGATGGAATTGATTAAGTTGGCCTAAGTCTTTGGGGTGAAAGACCGAAAATAAGCACGGAGGAGGTACCACTTCCCTTCCGATTTGCAATGGGTAAAGTGGGGTTTTTGGTAGTGCTGGTTATGCCTACTTGCAAATACCAACCTAGGGATTACTTGAGTCGTATTTACCGCCCCTTGAATTAAATTGTAAATTTATGAATTATTGGGATTTTCAAGCTATCAATGAGCATGCTATTATTATTATTTTTTTTTAAAGAGGTAGATGTGATTTTCTTTTAAAAAAGGCATAGCATGGCATGTGCATTTTATTTTTGGGAAGCTTGTATAAAATGTATGTACTTTATTAAGAATTCTCTACTAGGCTTTATGTTCACCCTATGGGACTTTGGTGTAGGAAAAGATGTGGTGAACCCGCCAAACTAGGGCGTGGGTGTATGTAGAGAGAGCACAAGACTCTATTTTGTTGTTATTATAATTTTTGCAAGCTTAGGGCTATAACTGTTTGGGTTTGAGAGACTATTTTTGTGTTACCAGGCTTAAACCTTGGAATAAGTAAGCCCCTAGAGGGCACTTTATTCATTTTTTTTTTCGAATTTGACGTTCTACATGCTATAGATTCATGTATTTGATATCATTGAATGTATATTTTGCATGTGGGACTATTTTGTATAAACCTTAATGATCAATGATATGAAGGTTGGAGAATTGTTATTATTCCTTTAATAAATGTTGGTTGATGTACCTAAATTTATGTTGGAAAATTTTGGAGCATTACAAATTGTGTTCGTAGTTAAATTTTATTATTACAAGAATTAATACTGATATATAAATAGAAATGGATGTTTTGAGCAATAATAATAATGATGAGAACACATGATCTAGAATTAAGTAACAAAGAAGTTTCAAAAAACACATTATAGAGAAAGAAGATCAGGAATGTGGCGGAGGTAGGGGAGCCAAATGACTTTGGTGATTTTAGGACCAAGAACCACCACCACCACCATTTCCAAAACCAACACAACCACCATAAATCTATGCAAATGATTCCCCATTATTATTATTATTATTTTGTCAACTATAAGAGAGGTTTAGAATATGCACAACTCACCTACCTTTCCATAGTGCCATATATGTACATATATATATATATATATATATGAGTGCTGCTATTAGCACCTGCCAAAATTCTTTGGACCCCTCATTTTATAATTTTTTTTATTACAATTATACCCTAAAGTAAAATTACATTAAAAGACATTATTAAATGGAATACCCACATATCAATAAGAACTAATACTCTATAATATTGGACACCCACCTCTAACTCCAACTATACATATTCTATATTTGTAAATCCTAAACCAATTACTTTTCATAACCAATTAACATAAACCCTAAATCTATTATTTTCATAATCATCTTAAATCTTGAATGTGTCATCTTCGTTATCATCATCAATGCTATTGAACTTGAAAATTTTGCTTCAAGTATAACGTATACTTCATCATCTTATAAGTTTATCTATCTTGCATTACATTCTCGGTCATTTTTGGTCGTTATTGTTTCGTTCGAGCTGTTCGGTACTGGTTTGCTGACTGTTAGAATTATGTTCGGTAATACAGTACTGAACATAATCCTTTCGTTCAATACATAGGTTCCGAAAATTAATGCAGATAGTCAGTTATGTAATTTTCTTTGGTAAACTAACTTAGAATGGAAAAGAGTGAATTGGAATGGATTTAAGTTATGTATTTTGAATGGATTTAATTCATGTTATTTTAAGTTGTGAATTGGAATGGATTCAAGTTACATAGTGATGAACAAATTTTGTTCGGACATACAGTGCTGACATGATCATTATTGTTCGACAAAACAGTTCTGAACAAAATACATTTTTTCGGCTACACAGTGGTGAACAAATTGTTTTGGGCTACATTCAGAATTCTGATGGCGATTCAGATGATGATTCTGACGACGATTCAGACGATGATTCCGTTTTTCTTCATCTTGCAAATGGTTATACAAATCCCGTAGAAATTGGAGTATCTTCGATCGATCTCAACGATGACGAAGATACAAAAAGCAATGAAGAAAATGATGATGAGAGGATGAGAGAGGTTATTGATTCAGCGATACGGAGAGCGTTCAGAGAAGATGAGAGTCGTCGGAATGCTCCGTTGATGGCCGAGACGGCGACGAGAGTGATGGAGGGTTGGGGTCCAAGAATTCTATACTAGACCAAAGCTCCAAACTCTGAAGATTGAGTGAGTCAAGGAAAGAGAGGGACGAAAAATTAGGTGGGTGTGCATTTCATTGTGAAAATATTATGAATATGGGTAGATTTGGTAATAAGTGGGGTGTTCAAAAAAATATTATCAAAATTTAGGTTTTAGGGTTGGGGTCCAAAGAAATGGGGGTCCAAAAAATTTTGGTAGGTGCTAATAGCAGCACTGATATATATATATATATATATAGTGTAGTTAAATGGTAAATTACACTTCTCACCCTCCAATTTATATTCCAATTTTATTTTGATCCATCTTCTTCTAAGGGAGGCTATATTTACACCACTAAAACAACACCTTACACTCCCCATTTTTCATTCGTTGTTTTTTTATTTTTTATAATAACAATTGAGGATAAATTACTAACACACCCCCGAAATTTGTTTATAATATAGATTGCCTCTTGTAATTTTAAAAATTATAAATATCCTCTTGTTGGAATTTCTTATTTAATAAAATTAACAAAAATAAAAAATTGAAAATTTTAATTGTTCTTATATAGAATAATTAAACTATCTGAATTATAAATTGAAATATATTTCCGACATTATTAAAAACTGTCAACAGACTTAATGATTTAATATTAATAAAATTTAAAAAATGGTCATTAATAAAAATGGTCATTTGTTACTCTCTCAGTCTGTCTCCCTCTCACTCTGTCTCGCTCTTCTCAAACCACTCCCCCTTCTGCTCCATGATCGAAACCCCTCTCTGACTCTCTCACTCGGTCTCCTTCTCAGTCTTTCACTCTGTCTCCTTCTCACTCTCTCAGTCTGTCTTCCATCACTTTCTCTGTTTTCACTCTTCCTCTCCTTCTCTCTGTCTTCCCTCACTCTTCTCAAACTAGTCCCTTCTCCTTCTCCATGATCGAAACGTCTCTCTCTCTCTCTATGAATCTCCGATCTGTCTCTCTCTCAATCTTCACCTCCGATCTGTGTACTCTCTGTCTCTGGTACGATCTCCATCTATATACATACTCATATATATATACATATATGTTTTGATCTGTCTCCCTCTTAGTCTTCATGTGTTGATTTTTGCTTTATTTTTCTAGTTGTTGATGTGGATCGGTGATTGTGATTTTTGAAACTCAAAGCTAAGAATGGATTCAAACCGGATCTACAAACAACTCAAATCTGGTTTTTTTTTTTTTCAAATTTTCTTAATTATTTTTTTGATCAATTTTTGTTCATCTAGCAATTTTTGATATCTGTCTTCATACCATCTTATTTCGTTTGATATCTGTCTTCAATTTTTTATATCTGTCTTCATACCGGATTTGCAAACAACTCAAACCGGATCTGATTTCGTTTGGTTTGTTGTGAATGCATGCCATCTGATTTGGATTGACTGAGATTTGGTGATAAATGAATTAAATTCTTTTTTTGAGAAACTGAGGCCTTGTTTGGTTTATGTTTCTCAAAAAATTTTGGGAAAAATTCTCTACAAGTAAGTTTTCAATAGTAATCAAACCAAACAAATTTTTCCAATTTTTTTTTCCAAAACTTGTTTGGTTTATAAGTTTTCCAAACAAATCTCTCTTTCATACACATCAAATCAATCACTTTTTTCCAAAACTTTCTCTCAAAATAAATTTTCAAAACATCTTTTGAAAAAAAACCAAACCAAACAAATTTTCGTACTTTTTATCTCAAAACATGTTTCTCAAATACAAACCAAACAAGCCCTGAATTTGGGTTTGTCAATTTCATTTTTGAAATTTGTTTGATTCTAAAAATTAGGTTTGATTTTGAAAAATGGGTTCCTTACTGTTTAAATTCTGTTGTTTTTAACTGAATTTGATGCCAAATTGCTGTTCATTTTTGTTGATCTGGCAAGCTTGGGAGCTGCTATTTCGCTTGCCATATTTGAGAACACATATGGCATCTGCTATCTTTGGCAAGTGAAATAGCAGACCATTGGAGACCTGTTTTTGCCATTCTTGTCATTTTTTAGCTTTGGCAAGTGAAATAGCAGCTCCATTGGAGATGCTCTTATGCAGTTAGAAAGTTGAAGAGGTGTAATGTAATTTTTAAAATTACAGAGGATAATTTGTATTTTACGTAACCTTTACAGGACATATTTATAATTTATCCTACAATTCTATTCTTACATAAATTTACTTAAAAACCACCCCAAAATTGTCCTCCCATAATGGCTACTTTAGCATGTGTAAGGGCATTAAAGAAAAGAAAAATTATAATTTTTAGAATAATACCATTCAAACTTAAAAATTAGACTTAGTTTATAATTTGTTGACCAACCAACCAACTACTTCAATGTGTTCTCTGTCTCTGTCATTTATTTTTTAATTATCAACTAATTATTTTACTATTTTATTTGTACATTATTAGATTTAGAAAATGAGTGTAAAAAATAAATTTGTATATGATTTTTCTTATTTTTTATCATTCAACTTTATTCCATAAATTTCACTCTGACAAGAGAACTACATTGATATTCAAGTTGATGTCAAATGACTTAATTGTTATAATTAAAAGATGAATAACGGACGTATATGTATATGTATATTTTTATATATATATATATATATATTATTTATAATTTTAAAATAAAATTCAAATGAAAGTTAAAAGGTAATAATTAAATTTTTTTTTAGTGTAAAAGATTGCGATGTGGGAGGCTGGATTATCTCTTGACTTCATGAAAGTTTAAGCTATATGTAAATCAATATTATACACATTAACACATATAGGGTTAATTATACTCTCATTCCTGAGATTTCTGTTTAATATAGATTTTTTTTTTTTGAAAAATTACACTTATCCTCCTGTCAAATTAAAATGACATATTTGCCACTTAACCTTTTATACATATAAAATAATAAAATAATACATATATTTTATTCATGTCATTTCAAGAGGAATACCAATTATCTTTTTTAGTTTAACTCACACAAAAAAAATGATTTTTTTTCAAATTTTTATGTTATTTTTATTTTTATTGAATTTATTTAATATTTAATAACAATTGCCTTTTATACATATATTTACGAAGTATAATATTATTTTTTATTTTTTATTTTAAATTCACCAAACACAAAAAAATATAAAAATACAAAATTCAATACATTATCTTATTTTGTTGTATTCAATAAATTTTTTAATTTTTTTTGGTATAAATTTTATACTTTTTAAATATATCTAGATTAAATTAAAAATTACATTCATATATAAAAATTTATGCAAAAAATATCATAAAAATATTATGACAGTGATATTGTTGTAAATATAAATTATGTTTATATATGTTTTGTTTTAAAGTAAAGGTCATCATTAAGATAATCATTGTGTTTGAAAATTTTATATGAAATTTATGTCTGTCTATCATCACTCAATAAAAATATGTTTAGGTAGAATTTAATGATAGAAAGTAATAAAATGTAGTTATCATGATATGAAGAAGAAATGGTAGGAAAAAAGGCAAGAAGGTCATTTAGAAAATCTTAGGACGTGATATCAACAATGCAGGGATCAATTTGTAATGAAATTATAAATTTTAAGAAGGAGAATGTAATTTTTCAAACGTGAAAAGAGAATCTATATTGAACGAAAATCTCCGGGATTGTCAGTATAATTTACCCTAACATTATAATGTATATTGTATATTATATTCACTAAGAATATGAACCTGTTTGTCTGATCGTATGGTTGAAAGGAGCCTTGAATATCTGGAGAGAGATCATTGCACGAATCTTGGATGATTATAATTGCATAATAAAAAATATATATAACTATATTTTTTAAACTCATTGGGTAGATTTAACGATATATAAATGGGATGATTTATTGATAATTAAAACAATGTCACATCGTTGTATAAATATATTTTAAAACAATATCATATTATTAAATTTGAAAAATAAATATAATTTTTAAGTTTACGTAGCATTACTCATTAAAAGATTGGTGTTTTAACATTGAATGGAATGGGAACAAAGTCAAAAATTGGGGTCAATTTTACTCTCTTTTTAAAATAAAAATAAAAATAAAGATCATGATAGAAATAATTAATTAAATTCAAATTTTTTCTTTGACCTAGTTATCAATTAAAATATTTAGCTTGTATGCACCGCAAGGTGAGGTGGCCAATTGTTGACTCCGTCAAGAAACTAAGGATTCAAAAAGGACGATTACTTGTTCAAAAATAAAGAGGAGAATTTCGACCTAGGGCGGCTCTAGTCTAAGGCGAGCAAGGCTCATCTTGAGCTCTCAAATTTCATCAAATTTTATGAATTTTCAAGTAATTTTAACTTTATAGTGTTAGTATTTAGTAATTTTACTACTAATAATGTCCAAAAAGTAATATTTAATTTAATTATTTACTGTAGTTGTTTAATTTTTTTTTTTGGTATTATAATTTTAGATTTTGTTTGATATTTTCTTTTTCTTTTCTTTTTTAATAGATTAGGTGATTTTTTTTTTTTATTGTCAATTGAACTTGCTAAATTATAAAGCAACAGCACCGAATTTTACAATTTTGAGTTTGTATTAATTTTTTTTCATATTGTATAAGTAAATTTTAATATATAATTTTAGTCATTATATATGCAACCATATTTTGTGTGAGTATTAGCATAAAATAATAAATTTATAAATACTTATATCTTTATTGACAATTTTACTTATTTATTTATTTTGATTATGTATACAATAATACTATATATACTTAAAAGTTAACTCAAAAAAAATAATTTTATGGATCACATTCATTTAAGTATGGTTGTATCGCATTAGACTAATTTGAATCTACAGTATACATGTTGAAGATAAAATTCTAGATATATGCATGAAGCGTTTCGATTTTACACTTTTATACATGCCTATCACACTTTAGTGGATAGATTATATCGAAGATGTCTGTATCACTTTAGTATATAGATTATCTTACAATTATGATGTTTTATAGGGTTAATTATACTTTTCACCCTT